TTGCATAAAATCGGTATTTCAAGGTATTTCTGCCCATATTGACTCTGGCAAGACAACTGTGACCGAGCGTATTCTTTTCTATGCTGGCCGTATCGACTCTATGCACGAGGTTTGAGAGGAATTGATGCTCACATAACCTTGCTTCAAGTAGTAGATAAGATGTCTTGTGTTCTAGGTTCGTGGTAAAGATGATGTGGGCGCAACTATGGACTTTATGGAATTGGAAAGGCAGCGAGGAATCACGATTCAGTCTGCTGCGACTTACGTAGATTGGCATGGAACTAACATCAACATTATCGACACACCAGGTTTGGCATGTTTTATCATCCTTTTCTTCCTCTTAAGCCAAATTTTTTATAATTCCTTCGCTATGAAGAACTTCAGCAATTGCATAACCTACAAGCATTTCGTTCCAGTAATGGGACATTGTGAAAAACCCGAATGTGAAGGGAAATGATTGCAATTTATAGATCCCTATGCATTATTTTAACTTTGAATCCCCTTTCTTACACTCAACCGGTTTCGGGGCTTAGAAGTAGACCGGTAGGGTAGCTTTGTTGGTTGCCCTTGTTTTTATGTTTGCACCTATATACATCCAGCGGTTTCATCTCCTTGCGATTCTTTCGACAAAAGTACTTGTCCATGGCCTGCCGATCATCTTGCATTTTGTTGTGATAGTTTGTCAAGATTAGTTACGTAAAGCTATCAAACGAATTGCAAAATGGCCGGCATGCAGTGGACTCATAATAACGTGGACTCATAACGAAGAATCGCTAGGCGACGGAATTGCTTATGTATGCCCGGCCCTTGCTCTTCCTAGTCTTGAGCTTAGCTGGTGATAGCTGGCCTCAAAGGAAATTTTTGCTTTTCTTCACTGGAAAATAATTAATTGTTCAAACAAAACTGAGAATTCCAGGTCATGTCGACTTTACTGTCGAAGTGGAAAGAGCATTACGGGTACTTGATGGTGCTGTGCTAGTACTATGTGGAGTTGGTGGTGTGCAGTCGCAAACCTTTACTGTCAATCGGCAACTCAATAGGTAT